ATTCCCCACCACGCCTGCACCCGCCCCCTTGAGGCTAGCTAGCTAGCTAGCTAGCTTGCTAGCTAGCTAGCTAGCCAATTAGCTAGCTAGCCAGCTAGCTAGCCAGTTAGCTAGCCAGCTAGCCAGTTAGCTAGCCAGCTAGCTAGCTAGCTGGTCAGCTAGCTAGCTAGCCTCCAGGCTGGCTGGGCCCCCGAGGCTCCTGAGCAGCTACAGCAGAAGCCCAGGGGGGGCTCCCCGGGGCCCCACAGCTGCTGCTGGCGCTTAGGGGGCCCCCCAGCCACCCTGCTGCTGCAGCTTCTGCTGTACGTACACCAAAGCCCCAAAACGCATGCACAGGGCCCCACACCATGAGGATTCCTGGCAGCGCCCTCGAGGTGTACGTACACCTGAGCTCCTGTTTCGCTGCTGCTCGGCGTCTTCACAAAGGGCCCCACAAAAGGCCCCACAGGGGCCCCACAAGGGCCCCACAAGGGGCCCCAGGGGGCCCCCAGCCTTGGCGGGAGGCCCCTCAGATCGAAAAGGGGGCCCCCACAATCTCCTGGGCCAGCGGGGCCGCAGTGCAGGGGCCCCCACAGCGGGGGGCCCCCGCGTGCCCCACCAGCTCCCCTGGGGCCGGGGGCCCCGCGAGGCCTCGGGGGGCCCCCTTTGGGCCCCCCGGGCCCCAGGCGGTGGCCCGCAGGGTTCAATAGTTTGCCTGCACTCCCTTGTGCTGCCTTTGGCGAGGCAAAGGGGGCAGACTGCAGCAAAGAACATTTAAAAGGCTCTTCTTGGGAGCCAAAGAATTTCATTTGGGAACTTTTTTGCCTTTAAAATACCCACGCAGCCCCCACACTGCGCCACCCACAAGTCCACATGACGCATGCAGTGCGCACTGGGGGGCCCCCTACACAAGGGGGCCCCCCAAACATACATGGGGCCCCCAACAGCCCAGGGGCCCCCAACAGCCCGGGGGGCCCTCAAACCCAGGGGGCCCCTCTTGCCCAGGGGCCCCGGAATCCAGGGGTCCCCTCGAGCCCAGGGGCCCCCTCTTGCCCAGGGGCCCCGGAATCCAGGGGTCCCCTCGAGCCCAGGGGCCCCCTCATCAACCCCAGGGGCCCCTCTCGCCCAGGAGAGCCCTTATGCCCAGAAGGCCCCCCTCGCCTCTGGGGGCCCCCCTTTCCCTGGGGGCCTCCCTCTCTCTGGGGGCCCCCTCTCTCTGGGGGGCCTCTTGAGAGGGGGGCCCCCCTCGGGGCTAGGGATGGCTGGGCCAGCAGTGGAGCCTCTCGGACATTTTCAAGTTTGGGGCCTTTGGCGACGATCCAAGGGGCCTTCCAAGGGGGGCCCCCCAAGGGGGCCCCCACAAGGGGGGACCCCAAGGAGGCCCCTGCCGGGGCCCCCCAAGGGGCCCCTCAGGGGTGGGTTGGTGGGGGAAAAGAGGCAAGGAATGGCTGACCAAGAAGTGCAGCCTCTCGGAGATCTTTAATAAGCATGGGGCCTCTGGCGACGCCTCAAGGGCCCCCCTGCCGCATTGGAGGGCCCCCCAGGACCCCCGCGGGGGCGCCCCCAGGGGGGCCCCCGGGGGCCCCCCCGCGGTCCCCGCGGGGGCCCCCCGGGGGCCCCCAGGGGGCCCCCGGGGGCCCCTCAGGGGTGGGTTTGTGGGAGAAAAGAGGCCAAAGAGGGCTGGGCAAGGAGCGCAGCCTCGCGCACATCTCTTAACTTGGGGCCCTTGGCTATTGCTTCGCTGCTGAGGCCAAAAAGAGGGTACTGGAGGTAAAGGTCGCGCAGTGTGGGGCGGAGGGTGACTGCTGGCGTGAGCAGCAGGCGAATCAAACCCTGTACGCAAACCCTAAACCCTAAACCCTAAACCCTAAAGCCCAGGCCCTGGGACGGAGAATGCAGGCTCGAGAACAGTCACCGCACGTCCTCCCTAGTTACACGGCATTTGTACGGGACACTCACATGCAAACCCTACGTGCTGAAAGATCACCCCAAACCCTAAACCCTAAACCCTAAAACAGCGAAGCGAGACTCGAGGCTCGAGGCTCGAGAGGCCACAGCGC